CATTCAATAGCTTTACCACCTTAATTACATTCATAAGGTTTCTCTCTAGTATGTGTTATGTCATAGGAGATTACTATTATGTCAAAATGCTTTATCACATTGATTATATTCATAAAGTTTCTATCCAGTGTGCTTCTTCTATGTACATGGAGATTATTATGGCAGGCAAAGTTTTTCACACATTGGTTATATTCATAGCGTTTCACTCCAATAAGTGTTCTTGTTCAAGATAAGTCTTACATGAAAAGACGTCATGACATTAGTTATATTTATAAGGATTTTCTGCAACATGGATTTTTATGTCTTCGGAGAGCACTGTTATCTACAAAGGCTTTACCACATTGGTTACATTCATAAGGTTTCTCTCCAGTGTGAGTTCTTTTATGCCTTTGGCGACTACTGTTATCGGCAAAGGCTTTACCACATTGGTTATATTCATAAGGTTTCTCTCCAGTGTGAGTTCTTTTATGTACTAGGAGATGACTGTTACGTACAAAAGCTTTACCACATTGATTACATTCATAAGGTTTCTCTCCAGTGTGAGTTCTTTTATGTTTTTGGAGATTACTGTTACATGCAAAGGCTTTACCACAATGGTTACATTCATTAGGTTTCTCTCCAGTGTGAGTTCTTTTATGTCTTTGGCAACTACTGTTATCAGCAAAGGCTTTACCACATTGGTTACATTCATAAGGTTTCTCTCCAGTGTGAGTTCTTTTATGTTTTTGGAGACTACTGTTACATGCAAAGGCTTTACCACATTGGTTACATTCATAAGGTTTTTCTCCAGTGTGAGTTCTTTTATGTACTAGGAGATTACTGTTCCGTTCAAAGGCTTTACCACATTGGTTACATTCATTAGGTTTCTCTCCAGTGTGAGTTCTTTTATGTATTAGGAGATGCCTGTTACGTACAAAAGCTTTACCACATTGGTTACATTCATAAGGTTTCTCTCCAGTGTGAGTTCTTTTATGTATTAAGAGTTGACTGTTCAGTGAAAAGGTTTTACCACATTGGTTACATTCATAAGGTTTCTCTCCAGTGTGAGTTTGTTCATGTACTAAAAGACTACTCTTACATGCAAAGGCTTTACCACATCGGTTACATTCACAAGGTTTCTCGCCAGTGTGAGTTCTTTTATGTTTTAGGAGATGACTGTTCTGTAAAAAGGCTTTATTACATTGGATATATTCATAAGGTTTTTCTCCAGTGTGAGTTCTTTTATGTATTAGGAGATGACTGTTACGTACAAAAGCTTTACCACATTGGTTACATTCATAAGGTTTCTCTCCAGTGTGAGTTCTTTTATGTATTAGGAGATGACTGTTCTGTGAAAAGGCTATACCACATTGGTTACATTCATATTGTTTCTCTCCAGTGTGAATTCTTTTGTGTTTTTGGAGACTACTGTTACATGCAATGGTTTTACCACATTGGTTACATTCATAAGGTTTCTCTCCAGTGAGTGTTTTTTCATGTACTAGGAGATGACTGTTACATGCAAAGGCTTTACCACATTGGTTACATCCATAAGGTTTCTCTCCTGTGTGAGTTCTTTTATGTCTTTGGCAACTACTGTTATCGGCAAAGGCTTTACCACATTGGATACATTCATAAGGTTTCTCTCCAGTGTGAGTTCTTTTATGAACTAGGAGATGACTGTTCGTTGCAAAGGCTTTACCACATTGGTTACATTCATAAGGTTTCTCTCCAGTGTGAGTTCTTTTATGAACTAGGAGATTACTGTTCTGTTCAAAGGCTTTACCACATTGGTTACATTTATAAGGTTTCTCTCCAGTGTGAGTTCTTTTATGTTTTTGGAGATCACTGTTACATGCAAAGGCTTTACCACATTGGTTACATTCATACGGTTTCTCTCCAGTGTGAGTTCTTTTATGTATTAGGAGATGACTGTTACGTACAAAAGCTTTACCACATTGATTACATTCATAAGGTTTTTCTCCAGTGTGAATTCCTTTATGTCTTAGGAGATCACTGTTAGTTGCATAGGCTTTACCATATCGGTTACATTCATGAGGGCTCTCTACTCTATGTATCCTTTTGAGTCTTAGGACATGACTTTTCTGTGCAAAGGCATTACCATATTGGCTACATTCATAGTTATCCGCACCAGTATGCATACTTTTACATGTGTGGGGACTACTGTGATTTGCAAAGACTTCATATTGAGTATCTTCAGGGAGTTTGTCGGCACAATGATTGTTTTCATACCTGCAAAGATAATTGGCACATATGACAGCTTTTCCACATTCATTACACTAATGGATGTTTTTGCCACATGACTTAATTTTGCGATTTGAATTAAAGGTAAAGAAGAATTACATTTTGAATTTTCATCATTATTTTTATATTCACGGTGTTCTCCTTCTCTACGGGTTGTTTTGCATATTTGAAAATAAATGTGATGGTAAAAATATTTGTTACCTGGCTCACATTTATTATATACTTTCTTCTATAAGATGTTTTACCACATATTTGTAGAAAACTGCAATACCTCAGAGCTTTAACAGAATGACTAGATCAATAACTTTCCCCATACTGTGAGCCAAAATAAATATGTAAAGATAACTGAGTAAAAGAATAATTTGTATATACCTAAAACTATATTTTTTGCAGTGTGATTTTGTGAGAATTCCTAATGAAGGTGAAAAAACAGTTAATTGATGATGGTGTATATTGTGTGAAAGTATGCCAGTATATGTGAATGCTAACTGTTGAGCCAGCAATCAGTTCAGTACTGATGAAATCATAGTATTGTTAGTTCTACAGCTGATCACCTGTCCTATATTTTGTAAACATTTGTCCTTCCTTACTTATTTATTGGAAATAAGAAAGAGCTAATAAGTGATAGCAGAGCACAAAATGAAGGACAGAACTTCTGAGTGAGAGAGGTTTGCTGGGAAGAAGAAAGCAAATGACAGGCCACTCACCAGCATGACAATGAGGTTAACAGATGACCATGAACAGTAACAAAAAGGTAGAACTGGCCATGCATTGGGATACTGTGCTAGGATTGTGTTAGGGAAAAAAGGTGCTCAGAATCTGCCCAGTTAAATTGCCTAAGCTTTAAAATATTAAAAAGCCTCTGTGTCATTATTTGTATTGCTGGCAGCTCTAAATAGCCCATATAAATCATAATAGGTATCAATTTTTAAACATCTACTCAAAATGGGGACTACTATACCTTTTAGTTGTTCTGGGTGGTACATTGTTTCTTTCAATATACATATATTAAAATGACTTCTACTCACTGTGATACATGATAATATAACTAACTATAAAAAGAATAATAAATGACATGATTTCATGATGCAGTCACACATTTGATTTTTGTTCATCACAGACACATGCTTTAGGGGTTATCGTTTTTCCACAACAAAATTCTTGACTCTAAAAAATGGCCCTTCTCACAAAACTTAGGTATATTATTACAAGTATATGAGTAACTCCATTTTACTATGGACGAGTTGATTAGTATAATGTTTTGGATATAATTTCATCACCTATTTTCTGTGAATACATTTGGCAATATCTGAGTTGTAGGAGACTAAACAAATTGCAGTTTTACCTCATAGTGCTAATGAGTAAACAATTTAATCATTGATTTTGCGTAAGTATGATTTCCTTGCATTCTGTCTTAGAGGAGTGCCTTGCAAACACATATCAAACACCTAACATGGAGGTGGTACATGGTTTAGTAACAAATTAGTCATCATCAATAAATATACTTAAAACAGTTCATTTACACTGTCCCTTCTCTTTCAAACTTCCAGAACATATAAAAATTTTCTCAGAACCATATTCATATCAGCTTACAATGAAAATTACTTTGCATATCTTCTAGAACTTTGACAATGCTCTTCTATATTATGACTTTCCCAATTGTGGCCTAAAATACAGTAACAGAAAATGTATGATTTATTATTGGAAATGAGACAAAATTTAAGTCGTGTTCTAGGGTCAGTCAAAGCACCATTCACCTCACTCTTCCTCATCATCAAAAGAAATTACAGAAGAACTTAAATAATGAATAAAGAGCTTTCCCTATATTTTAAAAAGTAAAGAAAATTCACTGTCCTACCTATAGCAGTGAGGTTCCTGTAGGTCTCCAGCATTATATCTTTGTAGAGATTCCTCTGGGAAGGATCCAGCAAAGCCCACTCTTCTCGAGTGAAATTCACATGCACATCATTGTAGGTCAATGCTATCTAAAATATCCACACACATGTACAACAGAAAGCATGATACTTAGAACACTGGAAATATATCCTTTATTTACAATATTTTCAATGTATTCTGGTGGTTCTTCTACTTAGTTTCTGACATACAAGTTGTAATGTAATCACCAACTCTTTTTAGGAGTAAACTCAATAGTGAGGTTCACCTCTCTAATTTCTGCATCCTTTTAGTAGGATATAGCCTGGCAAGAGAAATGTCAATTAACAGATAAAGAGAGAGAGAGAACAGATCAACAGTACTGAGCCCACATGAGAGAAATAGTATAAAGGATTCCTGACTCTTATAAGAATGGGCAGGCTGAGTGTAATTTCTGATGACTTGATTTCCAAAATCACTCAGGAAACAGGCTGGTGTATTCCACAGAGCTGGATGGTAGACTGCTCTTTGCAATAAGTTCCAGGACACTCATGGGTACATATTAAGATCCTGAATAATATGCAAAAATTAATCAAACAAGCAAGATAAAAAAACTTAAAGATCTTTCTCAAGTTTCTACAAAGATTTATATATTCATTTGAGTTCTGCATAAATATCTAGAAACCTGAAGTGCCTCATTTTAAAATGTAATATTAACATGATCTTTTAAAAATGAAATGTACATTTGAACAATTACAAAAGGAGAGTCAAAAATTTAGCAATTTAAATGTTGATCATAAATACTCGCAAAACAAATCCAAGCACACATCAAAGATATACATGATGAACAAATTGGCTTACTCTCAGGCATACAGGGATGGTTCAACATATGAAAATCCATCAAAGTAATCCACTATATAAAGATACTGAAAGACAAAGATCACATGATCATCTCATTACATGAGAAAAAGCCTTTGACAAAGTCTAACACTCCTTCATGTTAAAAGACTTGGAGAAATCAGGCATACAAGGAAGCAGGCACATAATACAATGAAGGCAGTAAAAAACAAGCTGATAGACAACATCAAATCAGTTGGAGGGAAACTTATAGAAAATCTACTAATATGAGATATAGGACAAGGATGCCTCCCCTCTCCATATCTCTTCAATGTAATCCTTAAGTCCTAGCTAAAGCAATAAGACAACTGAAGGTTATCAAGGAGATACAATTTGGTAAGGAAGAATTCAAAGTATCACTATTTGCAGATGATTTAGTAGTATACCTAAGTGACCCAAGAAATTTTACCAGAGAATTCCTACAGTTGATATACACTTTCCACAAAATGGCTGGGAACACAACTAACTAAAAATTTCATTAGTCCTGTATACAAATGAAAAATGGGCTGAGAATGAAATTTGGAAAAAAACACCCTGAACGGTAGCTACAAACAACATGAAGTGAAAGACCT